GTGCATACACGGCACATCGTGAGGTGCTGCATACACGGCACATCGTGAGGTGCTGCATACACGGCACATCGTGAGGTGCATACACGGCACATCGTGAGGTGCAGCATACACGGCACATCGTGAGGTGCAGCATACACGGCACATCGTGAGGTGCAGCATACACGGCACATCGCGAGGAGCACATGAACCCTACACACACGGCACAATACAAGGACCACAGGACCACACATCACCTCCATGCAGAAGGCGATGAAGGCCCCCAACAGCACCCGGCACCACATCAGCGCCGCCATCTCAATATCTTTGAAGTTGAAGCCGACCTCAGACCCGGCAAGACCCGTCCCTAAGAGGGGCTTATAATTAGCTACTTAATTATTATTATTTAGCTACTTAATGTTTAGGCGCAATACGACAGAAGTAGACCACCAAAGTCTGTACTTTAAAAATAGTTATGGTACCATTTTTGTAACTCTGTCACACAATCACTGATGACTTTTGAGCTAAACCCACCTATCACATACAATAAATTGGCTGCTAAGTGTTTTGATCGTTTGGCTATCGGATAAGGTCTTTATGTCTCATATTGAAGAGAAAATCTACAATAGTAAAGAGACTCTTCGAAGATAATAACATTTTTAATATCGAGGCATAAATCAATCACAATACAATCAAAAGTATACCAATATTCGCACCATTCATGCTGAATAAAATTCAGTAACAAAATTCACGTAAATGGAAAAGACAAAAGCTGGAGAAGTTCATCAAAATTTATAACTTCTAATGGATGTAGACAGTTTTTGAATAGAGAGCCATTGTTGGTACAAAACTTTACATAACACCAGCAGGCAGCAGCTTAAATTTTTGGTCCTCGGCAGGGATAAATTTGGTCAAAGAATAAAATAGCTTTAGCTACCTTCCATGGCAGCAGCGAGTGGCAACAGAGACAATGCCATCCAAGGCTGCACGTGGTAGACGAGGTCTACAGGATGCGATAGCCCCAACTCACTCTTCTGCATCAGGATCTGTGATAGTGTCCACCGCAGTCCACTGCAATGTAGGTACATTATCATTATAGTGGCAGTCCCAATTCACTCCTCAGCATCAGGATCTGTGATAGTGTCCACCATAGTACACTGTAATGTAGTAGTATTGTTATCCTAAATTACTTTGAAAATATAATTAGCATGACGAGTCTTTGGTACAATGACTTGGTGCAATAGCATTCATCTTCATTTCAAATCTATAGTAGTATTGTAAAGAAAAAGTTACATTCAAAATTGAGATTAAATTACAGGATATTTCAACATACAAAATTTTAATGCGGTAATCAACATATTAAGTATGCAAAATCAAGCACATAATGAATCTACTCACCTAAGTAAAGATGCCGTCATCACTAATGTAAACCCGAACAAGTTGAACTGAGTGTATTTGTATGTGAACATCAACAGACCTCCGGCAATAAGTATCACCAGCACCACAATGCTCCATCTCTGTAAAATTACACATTACTCATCACTATATTCAACAGATCTGTACAAAAAATATAACTCAGTACGTACTCACTGCAGTGAGTGACAGAGAGCGCATTTTCTCGTTGACGAAAACGTGAAGTCACGGACGGACGGACAGACAGACGGATGGATGGACAGACATGACGACCACAATAGGGCATTTTTTCCATCAAAAATGAGAAAATGCGCTAAAAATAGACATTATTAAAGTAAAACAAGTACCTAGGGGGTTTTAGGATATCTTGTTTAATATGTTATAGTAAATACTGTAGTTAAGAAGTATAGTGTACAGTTAGAAAAATTATGAGGGAAAACGAAGAAAGTTTATTAAAATGTTCATAAAGAGAATAAACTTCACCCATAAAAGTAGCAAGGCTATTCTGGTAATTGTTCAAGGAACCCATATAAAGAAACGCCTAAATTAAAATCGCTCCTGTTTTGAGTCCTCTAATGAATATAAAATAATAATCAAAGAAGAAAATTAGACATAAGGAACTTACCATTTCTTCTAACTTGAAGAGGATGGCAAAAAATAAAATGAAGAGCAGAGCAGTTGACTTGGACATGGTATATCTGCAAAAAAATTCATGGCCATAAAAAAATAACAGTTTCTGAGTAACTGGATCTCTTGGAATATGATCATCAACACAATAGAACTCAATTTCTCAAAGCAGTGAAAATATTTTTAGAAAATTATTGCGCTTTTTATAAAAGAATCTTCACTTCATAAATACATAATCCTTGGTGTATGAATACTTATACTTATTTTAAAATAATTATCATAAAAGTTTTATAACTAGACCATGAAAGCTAAATTCTTGAACATACAATGTAACCGTGATGAACTCAAGACTCCACTGGGAGAGCCCAATGTCAAGTCCGGCAGCTGCACCAGCAGGTAGAACTTTAGTGCAGTAAATGCGCCAGTTGAGGGACACTCGATCTTTCCCCGAGCAGCAGGAAGAACAAGAGCGCCAAGCTCCAGACAGCAAAAATTTAACATTCAGGTGTACAATGACCACCGTTAGAGGAAATGGGAAATCCTGGAAAGAGTAAGAAATTAGTGTAAATTAACTACATAAATGCTAGGTAGGTCTACCAATCATATAAGAATAAGAAATCCAGATTATAAAAAATATTCTACAACTTCAGATATAGTGCAAATAAAATATCCTTGCAAGTTTTCATTAAAAATTTCAAACACAAAATGAAAATATTACAAGTGGGAAGTTGAAAGGAAGAAAAATTTGTGAAAATTTTTCAAAGAGGAAGAAATCATTTATAAAGATTTATTGGTCTGAATTGGAAATAATTATTCCCAAAATGTACAAAATTATTGACACAAAACAAATTGAATTATATGAAATTTCAAGTAACAGATTAATACTGATTGTATCAAGGTTAGATTTATACTCATTTCAGAAAGCATGATATCAAATAGAAAAAATTAGCAAAATCTCATCGAACTGAATCTAAGGCCAAATTTTTCTAAATCAAAGAATTACAAATAATCAGAATAGAGAAAGTATCTTACCTTGAAAAGATCTTTCTGATAAAATGTTAGTCCAATACTGAACATATAATAAATGAGTATGAGTAATAGGGTGCGGGTGTGTAGCAGTAAAAGTTGCGTGCAGCGTTTCCCTCTTCTGCGTCTGTGGTCGCCAAGCAACTTTTGAGAGCTGATAGAATCTCCACCACCTCCCATCCTGATCAGTAACCACAATCATTTCACTATTTAAACAAAATTTGCACTAATCATTTTAAGTTGAAAGGGTAATATTAAGGTAAGGATAAGGTAACAACAACAAAAATTTACTAAACCAGGCAGATTTCACTTGAAATTTTAAAATATTATATTTATTTATTATAATGACGTATAATTCAGATGTGAAAAATTGTTACTTTCTTAACAGCAAGTAGAGCTTTTCTGCCATAATGCCATTGTGGGAGCCATTTTATTCCTGCTAAAAAGTTTGCCCTTTCCAGCAACCTAGTCTTTGCCCTTAATGACCTATATACCGGTACATCTTGCCAGCATTACTCAAGATCAAAGAAAAAAATCTACTTATCATTGAAATCTAGCAGCACTGAAGTAATTTATTTTTAATAATTTTAACTTTTGATGGCAATTGAATAAAAGATAATCAATCTAGCAGGAATCTTAGAGCTCCAGAAATGGCAGGAAGGTCTAGTGTCAGCTTATAATGTATATTTATATAATTTAGTATCAGAAGGCAGAATAAGCTTGTTTCAACACGGGTGGTTAATGGCCAGAGAATTCGTCAATTTAAATTTTCAGGGTCGAACAATATTCTTCATATGACATTAGTTGATCAAAATGCAGGTTCAAGGGAGTAATATCACTTTATTAACGACGTTTCGAATGTAACAACATTCATTTTCAAGTTACAAGAATGTATTCAATGCTTCTTGTAACTTGAAAATGAATGTTGTTACATTCGAAACGTCGTTAATAAAGTGATATTACTCCCTTGAACCTGCATTTTGATCAACTAATGTCATATGAAGAATATTGTTCGACCCTGAAAATTTAAATTGACGAATTCTCTGGCCATTAACCACCCGTGTTGAAACAAATTTATATAATTATATATTCCATGTCTAATGCACCATAACAAGATATTGTCCATTACCTACTTGCCTATAATTCAATAAAAACCATTTTAAAAATGCCAGTCACAATCACCACTTGTATTATTTTATCACAATACACCAATTTTAAATCTATTAAGATCTTATTAAGTTCTGATTTAGTTTTGTTTAATGAAAATGTACGTTATTTCTCTTGGAGCCAGAGGGCCAATGAAATGGCAACTCAAGTAAGACAGTGACCTGCCAGTAAACTAATTTGTGACTTCTGTGGCATTAAGTAGAATCATAACCTACTAATATATATTATATGCATTAAGAAAAGCCCAAGAACAGAACAAAAGTGTGGGAAAACATCTACTCTTTATGCCTAAATGGAATTTATCTATTTTTCTAAAATCTTACAACTCCAAAGTGAAAAACTTTCAATACATTTGGAATCTAGTGGCCCAATTGTACACTTTTCTTAACATTCATCTAGGGGAAATCATGCAGTTCCAAAAGAGCAGAAAAGCTCTAGTTGCAGCTCAAAACATAGAAATATTCAATGCCAGCTTCAAGCTATGAATGGATTTTTGAGCCATGAATTAATTTTCCATGTCTTGGAAAGTTCCATACCATCCAGAGCTGCAAGCTCTTTTGGCAAGCCATGCACAGCGCACAAGGCACTAATTTGGAGAATTGGGCAAAAGTTTTCAAAAAATGCAAACAAAAACTATTATTTAATAGTAATTTTCAAAAATTATGGGTGAAAATAGGCTGTCTTATTTCTATCTGAGGAAATTGGGAAAGGCCAAAAAGGTCATGGGAACGGCCAAACAGGTAAAATTGGCTAGATTAACACATGTTTTTGTTCTGTGAATCTAGCCAATTCACAGGTGGCTTTGGCGCAAATTTCCACCTTGTATTTTCCTAATTTTCCAGCCTAATTTTCCACATGTATTATACTAAATCTCAAATTTTAGCCTAAAAGTAACAACAATAATCTTTTCTTGTCTTGAGAGGCAAGAGATGTTACTTATTTCATTACTGAATCTTGAAAACATAGTAATTCTGTAAAAATGTTCAAGATCTTTTATGAAATAAATGCATGCAGCCAAGCATGGAAAACTTCTACCATTAGGGCTGCAAATAGAGCTTTCCATTTCCCGCCATTTCTGGAATCCTGCAATTTCTGTCAGATGAATTAACTCCAATCTTACTAACCACAACACTACTCACAAACCTCACACAAAGCATAAACAATGGCATCAATTCCCGCAAACCTGCACACAGAACACTACTACTTACAATAGCCATCAGTAAAGCCTTTGATGCCATCCCTCGCCTCTTTCTCACAAACAAAATCTAAAACACCACACTACACAACAACAACAAATGCTGGCTTGCCAATTACTTATCAGGCAGACAAGCATATGTACACTACTCAGGCAAGTCTTCACACACATCACTCATACCCAACGGAGTCCCACAGGGCTCCGTCCTATCACCCTCACTCTTTAATCTATACATGCACGACATACCCGAACCACCTCCAAAGATCCACATTGCCTCCTACGCAGACGATGTCACAATAACATCCACAGACCCAATCCGCAGACATATGTACTCAACAAGCACAAACATATCTCAACACTCTATCACAATGGCTCACACTGAACAGACTCAAAGTTGCTCCTAGCAAATCCACAAACACATTAATGACCAGCCACACAAAGGAGCACCAATACAGACCAAACATCACATTAAACAACACCCCGATACCGCACACACATGAAACAAAAATACTAGGGGTCACCTACAACACATTCATGACATTCAGCCCTCACATCAACAACATAGTGAACAACGCAAACATCAGACTCAACTCACTTCGGGCCCTAGGCAGTACCAAATTTGGCAAAAACAAAGAAACACTAGCACCAACATACAAACAGTTCATCAGAACAGTGCTGGCTTATGCCAGCCCCGCCTGGGCGCCCACACTATCCAACACAAACATACAGAAACTCCAAACACTACAAAACAAAGCACTCAGGATAGTCACAGGCTGCACACAAAGCACCCCCATAGAACACCTTCATGCAGAAACAAAAATAGTTCCCATAAAAGCACACCTCGACATGAGAGGAACACAATTCATAGCCGCAGCCATAAACAACACACAACACCCGTGCCAATACCTACGCAACCACCCACCTACACACAGACAAATAGTGCAAACCCCACACAGATATTACACCAACATACTAGACACAATACCCCCACCCCAAGGCAACACTAGCACAAAAAAACACTTACACACAATTATGACACTTAGAATGCTGGAGCTGGCCGGCAACAACGAAGTCCTTGGACACCCACCACCTGACATAAGCAGCACAGAAACACAGCTCTCTAGACTGGAGAGAGTACACCTAGCCAGGCTTCGCTGCGGCCACCACCCCTCACTACAAACATATGCAAACAGAATAGGCCAAGCAGACACAGACACCTGCCCATCCTGCCAGAGAGCTCCCCACACAATCACTCACATTCTCCTGGAATGTCCGTTCTGGCAGGACCTCAGATAACACCACCACATAACCTCGACCCTACAGCTCTGGAACAACCCCCTGTCGGTGGTGTCGTACTTGCGCGAGGGGGGTCTCTTGTAAAATTGAGACCGGGGAACCACAACAACAACAACAACTCCAATCTAATTGTTAACAAAAGTGCAGGATCGGGCCGCAAGATTCCAAATGTATTAAAAATTTGTCAAGTTGGAGCTGCCAGATTTCAGAAACAAGTAGGAAAATTCCAATCCTGCGATGCAGATGCTTTCCTGTATAATTCCATGAGAATTGTTTCTTATAGTATGCCGGTTCATTTCCTTAAATTTCCAGTAAGGCAGTGGCCTAACTATGTGGCCTTAAGAAAATTACAATTGATGTAGTATTATATTTATACAAATGCACATGCACTTAATCAACTCATAGACTCAAGTGCACTCAACTTAAGAATATATATTGTACTTTTTTTTGAAATTTTGGCAGAATTAGAGAATTTGTTAGCAAAGTTGATAGGGTAAATGCGGTATATTCTGTCACATTAAGAATGTATCGCAAAATGAAAAACTATAAAAAAATAACCGTATGCGTTACTCAAGTTCTGTTTGCTTTATGCGACTCTCAAAACACCGCACTACGTGTCAGCAACAACGAAACGTCACAAAATGTTGCCATATTTATTTAGAAGCCTTTAGAATGGTAACCTACCAAATCCCTATATTCCGTCACTGTGTGTGGCAATATTCAGCACGTGGTGAGGCGTATTCCATCTGCGCTTCAAATTCTACTGATATGTAATGCCATCATCCACGTGTTCGAATTCCGTTTGCTGTGTGAGACTGTGAGCTGTATTGGAATACAACACGGCTTTGAATTAGAACACTAATGAATATTGAACACTACTTAATTACACTTTTAATTAACAACTATTAAGCTTTTAATTAAGCAAATTTTAATTTTTGTACACAGCTTGGAACGATCTGTGTGTGTCCAATTCAAGTTGTGACGGAATTAGATCAGGCAATAATTTTTTTAATTCGCTACATTTTACATAATTAATTATAGCACACCTAAATTTTTTTAAACACTTTTAATTAGTTTTAAAAATTGTCAAGTGTTTGCCATTTGCTGACAGTTGCTCCTGCTGTAGAGTGCAGGGTGCAGGGCTGCAGGCTGTAGCTAAATGACCAACCACTTACTGGAATTCCAGTGACCACATTTGCAGTAAAAGCAGCATGCAGCAATGAGTAAGTAAACTGAAACAGCAACATTTTTTTTCTTAAATTTAAGCAATAAGCAATCCCAAATTTCATTTAGGTAGCCTAATGATTCAACAAGCTGGAAAGTTATCCATTTATATTATTTTACATAACAACTCTAAAAATCATTAGAAAATGTTCATTTTTAAAATCAAAATTATGGATATCATAGGGCTAGCAGTCATACACATAAGTTGACATAACAATAGCTCAGGACAGAAGTCAGAACTGTACCTGGTTGATTATTATAAAAAAATTTTGGACACTTGCTTCACTTGCTATGTTGCTTGCAGTTGCACGGTTACGGTAGTGCTGTGCATTCAGTGCTGACTGTGCACAATAACAAGTAATAATCACGGCTTGATTACCAATTACCATGATATTACCGTAGGGCGTAGGCTCGTAGCTTACTCAGCTTGGTGCCTTGGACTAGACGCCTACCGTAGCCAGACTAGCCTCGAGAGTCGAGACGGTACCGTAGCTACAGAAAAAAATTCAAGTTTAAGTTGGAAAGGAATGTCTTCATTGTGTTGGCGACGAAAGAATTCAAAATAAACAATTGAGTAAATTAGTAACTAAATCCTACTACGAATCTACGATTAGAAGAGTAAAAAATGTTAGTCAGAGTTCAGACGGATGCTAGAAAACCTTGTATCAGCTGACTGAGCTGGAGCACCTTGACTTGTCCCTTATCGGAGACTCGAAATTTTATCGCCACCAAAACCAAAACATGCCGCGCTGTCGTTCTGCAAGCCTTAGGCGATTGTAGAAATTTGGATACGAGTATCTACCAAGTGAGAATATTGTTAACACTACAATTTTTGAGTAAAATTAAGATATTTTTTTCTCAATTTGCGCTACAATCAATTTTTTTTAGTTTTGCATAATAATGAAAGAGCTTACTTTTTAAAAAGAGTTGGATAATTTTTCAGAGATAACCGTCTCATTCTAGTAATTAATTCATGTACACCAGTACAACCCATGAGTACACCCGTCTCAGGACCGGGATGAAGTAATAAATCACTAATAAATTGAGCGCCAGACTTTGCTTCAATGGTAATGACGTGTTTTCCACAATTTATGCTTCTTCCAACGGACGCTGCTAATTGATATGATTTTGAAACCCATTCCGGAGAATTTTTCATGATTTATACTGCGCAACTAGATTTTGTAATTTTTACAGCAAAATATCAGCGTATATGCAAATGGAAGACTTTATAAGTCTTCTACGTTCGATTATAATGTATGAAAGTGTTGTAGTTGTTTATCAATAATTCACAATGAATAAATATAGTATAGTATAGTATCTTCGGCATTTAAAGAATAGGCCTGTCGCCGATTCTTGTACTTTTCTTGACTAGACTGGCCTTTTGATCAGATCTTTTCAACGGACGGTAGATTTAAAATAGCTTCTAGATATCAGTTGTTCCGTAGGGTACGAGGCATTTTAAGACTAAACATATGCTCATGCATGGCCTTGTCTAGTCTGTTCTATACTTCACTTCAAATTGCGTTGATTCATTGTTAGTAACCTATTACTGTTGCATATAACTATATTCAGTGTGTAGTCCTGACCCATACCTGGATTTAAAAAGTAAAAAAAAATTATGGAAAAGCAAGCGTTGACATGAGCAAATAAATAAAAAATTTCCAATAAGTGTGCATCTTCAAAATTCTGGTCTTCACCACGGATCAAGCAGTCAATAAATTAAGCATGCCTAAATCAATAGTTATTGTGAAATAGACATGTTCTTCACTTGCCTCTTATGTGTTATGAAAGCTCAAATATGGGTTAAAGCATATGGATGCTCCCTGACTTTATACAAGTATGGCCTGTCCTAACCTTGTAAATGTAGAAGATTGGTAGAAGATAGGACATGTTGCAAACCCAAAAGCAGTGGTGGGAAACTAAACAGGCTAATGAGAAAAAATCAATAACTTCTCCTTTAATTATATAATGTAATTACTTGTATATCATTTTCATAATTTAACGAGATTCGCTTTAATTTATATATTTTTTTTTAAACTGTGTAGAACAACAATAGACCAAAACTAGGAAGCGAGCGAATTGTAATGTAGCTACAAGCATATGAGAGGAATAAAAATCCACGAGGCATCTTTTCAATAGCTTTAAATGAATCCTTAGTCAAGATAACTCCAGTACTTAAACACTTAATATAGAGCAACACAATAACGGGTCTTTGGTGCAGAGATTCATGCAAAGGTCTGACGACCGAACAAAATTATAAAAAAAACCGACGCTCCCATTTTTTTGCTCTAAACATTATTTCAAACATGACTGAAATTTGAATATTAAGGTTGGAGTGACAGTGGGTCGTGCTTCAGCGTATATCAGAGGTCTTCCACATATATATATAAAAGATGTCCAGTAGGGATGAGCAGGCTGGAATATAGGTTCGCGTGATCTCAAAGTGTAGTTTTTTTATTGTGATGTCCTCATAAGTAATTAGAAATGTTAAAAGTACATACGAGAAGGCTATGCAGTCCTGACTCGAGCCGCGATCCGCATGTTGCCATACCCAGACAGAGATGAATGAAAATGTATGTTTTTCGAATTAGATAGACGACTAAAGTAACAATACCAATCAATGAAAAAGTAATTATCTGAAGACGATTAATACTAATAATAATTTAAATCTTCATCAATAATAAGTGCTCAAAAATTGCTTGTAAGAGACGCCACGTGAACGATGATACAAGTAATTCTATTAGAGCATGTAAGAGAAGATTGAATCAAGACATGTTTGCTTTAAATTAGATATAAATAACGAAGCGGAAAATACAGCACTGGCACACAATACAACATTAGAGTAAAACGTTGACGATATCAATAATAACGAAGTGAGAAACTGAAAGGCCAAATACTATGTGCTATCTCTCCAGCAGAACCCAAGTCAATGGGTCTGATTGAGAGCTGGAAGGAATTAAATATAAATACACGATATAGAGATGAGAAAAAAATATAACCCCGTCCTCACTGCACTTAGTGACAGAGAGCGCATTTTCTCATCTGTCCGTGACGTGAAGTCACGGACGGACATGACGAGCACAAAAGCGCTTTTTTCCATAAATGACAAAATGCGCTAAAAAGCATGAAACTTGAATAGACTAAAAATGATATCACTAGCGAAAAACCAGATGTTGATTTTTTGAACAAAGACAATTTATCAAGCACCATCATATAATGCGAAATTGACATATATATTGGTCTCTAGCCTCTCTAACTTCTAGATGGCGCCTCAACAAAAATACTAACAAAATACATTCAAAACATACTGGTGCTCACCATCCTATCTCTACGCTCCCTCAACCCGCGGGGACGTGCCACTTACTCTACACGCTATTCAAAGAAAAAAAAAGAAAAAAAAAAAAAAACAGAATCATCGTTTCAACTACCTACCCCATTTTAAAGTTCGAACAATTAACCCCACCAATATTCAATAATTGCAACAGGAATGACACAATCGCGAAATAAATTTTGATAGGTACGCTTAGGAAGGCCAGTGCCCAGAAGACGCTGTAAATAGAAGATATCCTGTAAATAAAAGATAAATATCCTAAATAGTAACTATAAATCGAGTAGATAAAGCTTTAACATAATGATTAAATAATCTCTAGACCCTTGCACATATAGTTATAGTTAACCAATGAATTTTGTATTTCCTATTCTAACTGAAGCAACTCAAATTAGACTTCGAACCATTTTAATACATTGTGCATCTGGCAATCAAAACTTCCTCAAAATTTAAACAGTAATGAAAAGCAAGACGATATAGGCAGACGATGGCATTCAAATTATAAAATTGGTATTCTATTCAAATTTTCGTTTCGTGACCCTCAAGAGAGCACAATTCGATGGCCAACTCAGAAATCAAGCGACGTTTGGTATCGGCGAAATGCAATTCGAAGCGTGAAGACCGAAGCAACAAGTGGAACAAGTCTAGAACATTAATTTAGTAGATAAATTAGTAGGATCAAATCTACTTCGAGACAGATAAATAATCCCACATTTAATAGATCGATTAGAAGTATGGAATCTATTTCAAGATAGCTAAATAATCAGACACATTTCATAGATCGATTAGTAGTATCGAAACTATTTCAAGATAGCGCTAAATAATAAGACACATTTAATAGGTCGATTAGTAGTATGGAATCTACATCAATATAGGTAGAGAGAGAATCAGACAGCGGTAGAGGTGGGGGCAGGGGGAGCAGGGGCAGAGGGGGGCTGTGGGTGGTTGCGAGCTGCCAGGTTCCCCCTGAGGTCGTTGACGCGCTGGTCGAGCTGCTCCTTGAGATGCTGCAGCTCCCGGTACCGTTGGTGAACTGCCTCCTGCAGGAGTAAAAAAAAAAACAATAACTTTAGAGAAATTTATAATATAAATATAATAAATTCCCTACAATTCCAGATATGATAAATTATAAACCAAAAGTTAAGTAGGACAATAAACAACATCTAATAACGCTGAGGAACAATACTCAATTCAGAGAAACTTAAGGGTAGGTAATGAATTACAAACAGAAAGATTGGGGAGAACAATAAACAACATCCAAAGGCTTTGGAAAACTATATGTATATAGTCAGATGGGGTAAGACAGGACCGAAATCACTAACAAGCATGTAGCATCTATACCATGAATAAATAAAAAACCCTAAACCTATCACAAGGTGTAGTTATGCAATGGGCTTCTAAGCTACAACTCAGACTTTCTATCCTGTCTTACCCCATTTGACTATAACTGTAATCAACTTACGGTCAATTCGCACACGCGGCTATGATGGCCGTACATATAGCCGACCTATTCCCACTACCAAACTCCTTCCTTCAAACTCAGTCAAGCGAGGGACCCTCCAGACGTGCTAAGAAACCAGGCGCCGGAAGTAATAACAACCAAAACTGATGCTTTTTGAAGGGCGAAGTGGTAGTTTAATCGTTGATTTAGTCGGAGACCTGAATAGCCACGTCTGGAATACATACCTGGTTTCTCATGGCGGGGTTCCAGCGACAGTAGTAAGTGTCCCAAAGCCTGATGTGCCTGATGGAGGTGAGGGGGAGGATCACATGGTGGCGGGTGGCGGGATTGTACAGCGGGTTCTGGTAGTCCTGAGCGTGGCTCAGCACCAGCGACCAGAGGGACAAAGTGGATTTCTTGACGTCAGCGTCTACTCGTTCGTGTTCACTGCAAGGGGGACTTATTTATCAGAAATTTAACGTGGATATCTATACTTCTGTTAAAGATTAGTTCCATGCAGTAATTTGGTATTGTTTAGCTACACACAAAATTCTTCTACCGCACTAACCACCAATATCTAATGTTTCTACTATAATTGGTCCAAACAACATTTAAAAAATATTTTTCACTTAAATAACTTACCGGCAAGTTCATTTTTCATCCCTTAGAATCCCACCCTGATTCAGAATTCGATGTAAGGGACACTTCTTATGATCAAATAATTATACTTCTTTAAAATATTCAATCTAATAATAAATGTAAAAAAATACAAAAATCAATCGCTAAGGTACATCATTCATACACCAAAATACTTTCTCAACTCCTGAGTGTTGGCTGCGTTGACCACATGAAGCATCATGTCTCAACAACAGCACGGTGGGAAATACCGACCTGTTATAAAGGAAGGTTCCGAAGAGGCAGCTGTAGAGGTGATCCAGGATAAGCAGAAGCAGGTCTTGTGTGTATTGGAACGCATGCGGGAACTGACGCATGATCTGAAAATTGGAACGTATAAGAAAAATTATGCATGATCTTAAAATTGGAATGCATAAGATAAATGATGCATGATTGGGAAATTGGAACGCACGAGAGTAATGATGCATGATCTGAAAGTCGGAATGCATAAGAAAAATAATGCATGATCTGAAAATTGGTATGAATGAGGAAAATGCTGCATGATCTGAAAATTGGAATGCATGATAAAAATGATGCATGATTTGGAAACTGAAATGCATGAGGAAATTTATGCATAATCGTAGAATTGTAATACATGAGGATGATGATGCATGATCTGACAATTGGAATGCATGTGGGTACTGACGCATGATCTCAAAATTAGAAAGCATAAGAAAAATTAGGCATGATCTGAACATTGGAACGCATGAGGATAATGATCTGAAAATGGCACGTAATGTTTGAATGCACACAGCGATGCATCCATAGAGTAAGTACAGCTCATAATTATACAGAAACTTATTCGTATTTTCTTTAAGCTTACAACAGCACAACTAATCTCTGGGTGGAGAAATGATGGCATTTGTGAACCACACAAATTTACCTCAACGCAATATATTTGAGGAGTTACCTTGTTATTGTGTCAGTTCTATTGTAAAATTTGAACAGCTTTGGTCGAAGAGTTTAACTGATATACGAGCATCAACACAATTATGAATATTATTAAGGCACGGTGGCCCAGTGGTAACAGTTTAGATTAATAGGATTGAAGCAGTGAGTCGTAGGTTCGATCCGAGCTGCCTGCTACAGTTATGATCAAATTGGTGAGATATCCGGGCGATTAAGCAACGAAGATTGAAGCAGTGAATTGCATGTTCGAGACCCACAACATACTATAGAAGTTCTGCAATGTTCAGAATCGGCAACAGGTCAAATAGCCTAATCAACGCGGACCGATATACTATACCGGTAATATGTTACGATATACTATACTATGTTATAGGTAGTGATGTTAAGTGGGTGGGTTGTGGCGGTTGGGTTGAGCGCTTCAAAAATATCTTGCATATAAATTGCATGAAGAATATTAACATATGACTGGTCTTACCTGCCAGACACAGTCAATGAACTGCACGAAGGTAGGGGAGCGGTCTGAATCCTGATGCCGATCGTCGCCATGACCAACACGCTTTGAAAAAACAATACACGCTAAAACAATACAAGCTAAAGAAATTTACAAATTGTACCAGCTAGACAATTTATACCAACAATAATCAAAAGTATCGATTGTAAATTGAATTGTAACATCAGCACAAGCCAACAATTTATACCAACAATAATCGAAATTTAATAGCAATTTTAATGTTAAAGAAACAGGAATAACCAGCTAAGTATAGGGAAATTTTCATTAATTCAGTTTTAAGCGAATAAGAGCAGCAGATAGCCGACTGACCTGAGCAAACTTGTGGCCAAAACTGAGCCACTCTTTTTCTATGAGGACAATAAAGCCTTCAATAGTGCGGTAGTGACCGTCCAGCATCAGCATCGACAGTGACGTCAACTGCGTTAATAGAACAATATTATTAACATTTTTATATTGAACGGCGATACAGTAGTCACCAAAGGCTGGTAGCTCATAACTCTGTTAGATGTAAAACAAGCACATCGGTCTCCATTAATCTATATGGACAATAATGGACAAACGTCATAGTACGGCAATGTAGTAACTTGCACAATATTAATTTATACAACATATTATTTTTTTAAACAAATTAAAACGGACGATTCCATAGACTGGAAAGAACATACCTGACTGGTTCTGTCCCAGCCATCCGAACAATGAACAATAACGCTGGTCTTATGGTTCTCGATCTTATCAGTGATACGAGCAGCACCACTGAGCACGCAACGAACGTGTTCCAGCCAGCGGGTGCTCTCGAGATTACTGAGCCAGTGGCTGTTATCAATGTTAGGATAGCAGACCTCTTGCAGTTTCCTCAAGCTCTCTCGCATAACATGGATGTTGGCTATGTCAAGGAACTGCACTTCGGCATTCTTATAATTTTCTTCACTTTCACAGCCCCCGCCCTTGGCTTTGTTGGCTACCGCGTTAACGTTTGGGCGGGCGTCCATGATGTAGATTTTGTGACTCTGAGCGTTGGCATCCATTATTTGCTGCACGTAATCTTCGTCATCTTTGGAACGTTTGGCTGCCACTCCAACCAGCGGCTGAGCACAGCGCGTGATGCTTGCTTGGCTCTCAGGATGCAGCCACGATAGAACCTGCACAGTACCGTATTAAATTCAGAGAGTTCCCATCATACACTCAAAGTTTGCACGTAATAAAGCGTACGAACTCGCGTAACTTGTACCCAAAAAACTATGAGAAAATATTAAGTAGCACACACGGTTAAAAAAAAAATTTGACAACCTTTCACTTTTTAGAATTGAAAGTTAGGATGTTTCATAGTTGGAAGAGAACGCCCAGGAGGTGTTTTAACCCTCTAAGGTCCAGCTGAACGGATCTGTTGCTTTCCATATGGGCAATTTTTGTTTATATTTGAAGCTCATTCATCCAATCGGACAGATATATTGGCTTTAGTTTCAGGCGGAGCTATGCCCAGGTGGAGGTTTTTGTCATCTGTCTGTTTTTTTCAATGAATAAATTTTGGCAATTTGGCATGGAGCCAATATATTATTTTGCACTCGCAAGGTAGCTGGTCGCAAAAGGGCTAAGCATCACTTGAAAATGACATGTTGTGTTATTGAATGCACTGCTTGCAGATACTAATACTTTGATATGCATCAATTAGACATAACTTTGTTCATACCACAGTAATAATGGCCCAAATGTGAAAGAAAAGCTTAATCTTCCAGATAAAATGTCAGTAAGAATAAAAATTATTCTGTTTTCATAACCTGAACAAATTGCACCTTACACGAGCATGATGAACTTAGAAAAAAAACTGATACTGTTTCTGGCTATTATTCCATAATTCAACTTTATTTTTTGAGTAAAAATTCATTAAGGCCCTTGAAATTAAACTGGCAGACACGAGAGTCGCGAGCTAAACTGGCTTTAGATTAACTATATTTTTGCATTTTGAAAATAGCAATGATCAGAATACAATTCATTAGAATTTTAACTATAACAAATTACAATGTATTGACAAATATTCATTTTTGGATTCAACTCACAGGCAAGCGGCCTCTGCTCCTGAAAGCAGCGACAGTTTTGAGCTTGGAGTCCGTGATGGCAGCCGGCACCGCCCACACCGCAGGGTATGTCTCACAAACTTCATACTTATCATTGATACGACTTATCCTCCACGACTCAGTGGGCAAACCCTGACGCTTCAGCTCGGCGATGGGTTCGTAAACGGTCCAGCCGTTCTCAGGGAACTGTTCCTCGTAATGGAATGCAAAGAACTGGAGTTTGTTAGAAGCTGGGAAGGCGAAATTCTGCAGTTTTTCTGTGATGAGGCGGCGGGAGTGGTTTTCTTGCTTGTGTGCAAAACGTAAATTTCTGATATCTTTGCAGAATATCTCAATGCCGTATGAGTTTTCGCCGCGGCTTGTGGTAGCGCCTCCAACTTTTTCAATTCTTGAAATCTGCAACAGGAAATATATCTAAGATGATGATTGACGTCATGTATGTTTTGAAGCAGCGGCGAAAAGAGAGCAACAGCATCGTGCATCAGCTGGCCCAAATAAGGGCGGATGCGCGATAGTCGGAGGCGGTGAACCATCGTGGCCTGGGACTGCTACATCCCAAACAAATACAAAGGATACTAAGGGTTGACGTGATGAAGGTATGTTTTGATCCACTTTTAACACATAGTTCAGGTTCTAAAATTATACATAGATATACATTTGTTAGAATGTTTGTTTCAAGACTAGTGCCACAAATATTTAGGGGATGTTGAAAAATTTATTGACGATCATCATCGATTTGGATTTAACCTGGTGCCTAATTTTTTTGTGTGTATGTGTTTTAATCGCAATAGGTACATTCCAAGACACGTTGGGAATTATGAGGTAGTAACATGATTTTTACCTTTTTACGTTAATTTATTTGATAATGAATAATTGAAAATTTATTGGAGGCTAAGTGCGAATTTCATGCCAATGTTGATGCATCTGGATGACAGAATTAAGAATAACAGGATGCCAGTTGAACCAGCTTGAAGATATAATAAGCAGAAAAATGATTATAGCAATTGCTGACAAAATATTGACACAATGAGCATTTTTCAACTGTTATGAGTATTGTCAATGAGAAAACAATTCTACCCAGAATGAAAATCGAAAGCTAAAACAAACAGTCGGGCCATAATCATAATATAAACTATCATATAAAGTTGACATAATTACTTGAAGTAAAGAAAATAATCATGATCTTACCACCCCAAGCGGCACGGACAGATCAAACTCGGGCTCGACGCTGCAGAAGTGGAGTCTGTAGTTGGTGACCGTGAGCACGCCCTTCTTAGGACCCGTGTAGGGACACAAGTAGGTTACGTCACGTGCAGTCTCGTGCTTCACTTCACCTGCACACAAAAGTTACTTAGCTTGCAGTCTCGTGCTTCACTTCACCTGCACACAAAAGTTATGTCACGTGCTTCACTTCACCTGCACACAAGTTACGTTATGGGCCATAACCAAGCACTGAAAGTCAGAAACCAAGCATAATAATAAGATTAATAAGTCAGAAACCAATCACTGAAAGATTAATACTCTACAGATAAATGCAAACACAAACTCCAAAGTTACAGGAGATTTTACAATTTAAATGCGTTAGATCCCAACAAGTTGAATAAAAATGGAGAAGACAATGGTGATGATTTGATAAATTTGTAAGTTCATTGCAAAATAATAAATTCTTGAATGGATGGTGAGAGAAAATAAATTGTACTTTCTAATTGTGAATAATAATAATAACTATGAATAAGAAATTCTCTCTAGTATTCAACAAATCCTGCATGAAAGAAACACTTCTGCCTAAATATAGCAATTATGAATGAATATGCCATGTGAATTGTCAAACAAACAGTAACACCCAAGCAGAGAGCCAAACAGTGCTAATCCAAAATGAATGTACCATGCATGAAACGTGTATATAGAAATTTTAATCAAATGCATGGGCAGAGTAGTATCTATTAATTAAATTTAATTGTAAATTAGTATTAGATGGCAAAATTTACTTCCTTAAAATTGGACTCCAGCTATCTATTTTATGACTACCGGATTTGTCTGAACACTGAAAGAATTTTCCGAGTAATTTTGGTACTTATTTCCACCCAAAATTTCAATATTTAATGCTTCTTCTAACTTGAAAATGAATGTTTGTTGAATTCGAAACGTCGTAAATAAACAAAATCTATTTCCTGAAACTTGCCTTTCAATCTACCGTCATCTGAAGAATTGTTCCACTCCCTGATAATATAAATCAACGAAGTCTACTGTCATTAATAGTACCTATACCTATTCTGAATGAAATACAATTTACATGTAGAATTTTAATTACATGTAGAATTACATGTATTTAATTACATGAAGAATTTATGAGATACCTTGACAGAGTTCGGTCAGCAGGCGAGCGGCCCGCTCAACGAATTCTCTGATGGTTAATACAAAAGTATGATTAATACTAAACTCTGAATGAATTACAATAAGACACATAGAATTTATGAAATACCTGGGCAGAGAGTGGGCTCGTCTCTTGACAGAGTTCGGTCAGCAGGCGAGCGGCCCGCGGACGACATGACCGGCACGGACACCCCCACGGGAGTGGACGCCGTCACAGCAGTCGAGCTCAGAGCGCTCGGAGAAAGCTGCGTGTCTCTCATGATAGCGTCCCTCGTACTTAACTGAAATATATGGTCAATTATGGCAGTTGATACAGACGGATTGAGCAATATGGTAATTACATTAACACAATAAACTGCTTTTGCTGCATATCTCTTTTGCTTTCGAAAGAGATATGGTCAATTATAGCAGTTGATACGAATGGATGTTCCTCTAATTGAGCAAACAAATGGTATATTAACACGATGAGCTGCTGTCGCTGACACCTGTGTGTCTACTTGACAGCCATAGTGACTAGGTAGGTATTTTTTAGTTGCCACTTGATTTTTTATTTCTTTATCTACGTCAGGATATCATTCATTATCTTATGTATGCTAATACTGGTAGGTATCCATCATACTTGCTTATCTACTCATAGGTGAGTTGTACCAAGGTCAAAAAATTTTCTTGTTTGTCACTAAGCTGACGAGAAATTGCAAGTAATAGTGGGTGACACAAAATGTATATAAATATCATTTATTGAATGAAAAAATTGGTAAATAAAATAATAAAACGATATGCTGCTATTTCTAACAGTTGCGCGTCTTCTTGACTGCAGGAAATTGTAAACAAATGCAGCTGACACAAGAACTGCATGTGGGCATTAAGAAATAAACTAAGTTTATAACTTCACACAAATGCATCTGACTAAACCCACATAATCATGCAAACAGATATTTCAACTGATAAGGGGATTGAGTAAGATAAAAAATAAAATAGAGCATTTTTGCGAGAAATCAATTACTCAATATACCACATAACTTGTGGAGGCTAGTAAGTTCTAGAACGCAGTCAAAATACCTACATAAATAAATCAAAGTACAACCATCAAGTTTTCTCCCAGGAGTCTTTACATTCAAAATTCAGGAATTTCTCTACAAAAATAATTTAAAGAATAACCGTCAAGTCTCCCCAAAGAATCATTTTCTCCAAAATTAAATCACAACACTCAAAAGAATGAGTGAGCATTTGTCCAAATCACTTTATACTCTCGTTTGAGTCATGAGAACCCAGTTTAGCCCAGCAAGAGGGCTAATCAGTGGTATGAAAAAAAAGCTTATCAGTATTTGGACAAAAAGGCAATAGTTTCTTGAGTGTGCAAACCTTGGACGTGCCAGCAAGGACACTGGACAGATGCTGCTGGGGGTGGTAGTGGTGACGCTGTAGGTGGTGAGGGTCTGATGTGGTGGTCGTGGAGGAAGAGCCGAGACTTTTGGGAGATGGTGGGGAACCTGAGTGACTTCCAGCCTGAAAAGCACAAAATAGCATGAGATAACCGATACTGTAGTTAGCACACAAGACTTCAAATTGCACCGACAGCATAAAAATTTGCTGGAAATGATCATCAGTAAATAATTTAACTGCAGTAATTACATAATTTTGCCATGCATACATTCAGTTGAGCAGAGGATGTAAGGCTGATGACAGCACTAGCAAAATATCTCGGAATATATTTAGGTTATTAAGAAGAAAAATGACATTTGAAATAAACTAGAACATCAAGAATTATTTTTATCACGAATTTCATGAGTTTTTCACCAAACATGTTATAGGAATGGGAAAAGAATACCTCATTTCAGAACAGTTATATTCTTACCTAGTTCTGAACTGAGCTTCAACTTTGTATGGTTTAATAATTTATACTACATGAGTACATGTCTTTAATAAAACACTGGAGTGAATAAAATATGGAATGTACACAGAGATACTTAAATCACAACCCAACAAGTAACTTCTTTTAGGTACATACCAACTTCCTGCCAAGCATGGACTTATCCTTATGATGGGGTTTTTAATCAAGTTTCAACACTGAACTGAGCTCTAACACTGAATGCTTTATAAGTTTGTAGCACATGTCTTAAAGGAAACATTGCAGTGAATAAAGTATAGAATGCACACATAAATTAGTGTCAACTACAGCAGGAAAAAAAGCATTTTTAGGCACACACCGACTCCCTGCCAAGCTTGGAGTTGAGAGAACTGGATTCTCCAGAATGAGTGGAAGCCTGGGTTAATGAGCCCTGTTTGTGTGGAGGCCCGACAATGCCGCTCACATGAGCTACGTTGTGATGCTGCGGAGACAACTGCCTCGGGGAGACTACGGGACTGCTACTGCTACTGCTGCTGGTGGTGTGATTGTGTTCACTGTGGTGACTGCTGGTGTCACTGTTACTGGTATCACTTACACCCCCGACCAAAGTTGGCCGTTTTCCCTGCAATAAAATTTGAAAATATGACAACAAAATAAACTAAGCAATTGTGGAAAGACATTCTATTTCAAAACTAAAACAAAGCAATTGGAGTTCATTTAGTGAAAAGAATTAAAATGGATTCCTTCATGTACCAAATTTAAAAATTCATTAATTAAATAGTGAAGTAGCATACAAATTTTCAGACAATCAATACAATATTCCAATGGTTTGATTCACAGATGGACTTTCATCAGCCCTACCTGCATGCTGGACTAGCATACCAATACCAATTTCAGATCCATGAGAGAAGAATGACTTTAATTGACAAAATATTATTCTGTAATAATTATGATCACATCAAACAAAATTGAAGTATATATGCCTACTGTAAAATTTAGGAACAATGTATAGAGAATCTGACATGGAAAATTGGTAGCATTCAAAATTACACTTCGGTATCATTCTTATTTAAGCTCCTACTGAAGCATTCTATTATAAAATTTAATGAAATCTTCCACAATAATGAATACATAGCCTTACTCTAATACAGAAAAGATGTTAGGTAATAATTCTATGATCTTACCTGATTTGGCCGCACAGACATTATCTATAAATAGTAGTTTATTATATATAATATATTAATGCTTCTCTGGAATAAGAGTGCAATCATAATAATTCAAAAATCAAATAATCGAATTTATAGAAATAGTGTGAACAAATTTCTAACAAATATCAACAACTTGAAAAATTAAGTTGTTGAGAATTGATTATTCCCACAGAATCATGACCATGAAGGTTCAAAGTAATGGCAATCAGGTAGAATATCTTCGAGCTAGTCTTTACTGTTGACATGAGCTTTGAATAGGAAAAAAGGTTAGATTACCCACTAAGATATTTGTGAAAATGTATTTGAACTCATGATAGCTTTTTTTGAACATTTTAAAATCTGAAAAATTAGTGTTTGAAGTTAATTACTTAAAACAACATTGATGATACATCTTTTGTGTTGAATTCAATGTTGCCAATCATGCCATGTATTCTGATGAGAAAGAACTACGTATGTCAGCTTTCCATATCATCACAGCCTTAATGGTGTTTGGACTATTGGACTAGGGACTGATGGGAACACCTGATGGCTTCAATTGTACAATCAAACTTCACAGTTCTTGAATCTAACATGTATGTATTCTTCATTGCACCTTTAATTGGAATTCCTACAGAGTCTTCAATGCAGACAGTTTCTGTAAAATCCAGTAAATACTGAATTGAATAGAAGCATTACCCTTCAATATGTTGGATATATGAAACAATATAATCATTGCCAGAATATAGTCAGACTATTAATTGTGCTTTATATTTAACACTCTGAAAGGGTACATTATGTAAGACTGTGATGTAATACAAAATATTATGGCAACTATAATGAACAAAATTTAAAATGCCACAAACTATTTTATTGTGTTTTTTCATTTCCATAAGGTTGTGGACAAAACTTAATTAAAATTGATCCTGAAAAAATACCTATAAAATACTATGCTTCAATGAATTTTAATAGGAAATTTGGTTTAACAGTCAGTTTGTCTCATAATTATAATGTTAAAATTTATCAACAAATGGCACTGTTTGCCAAACTCACAATTTAATAAAACTTGTACTTTTAATTAATTATCACCTTCTCTTTCTGTTGTTTGTAACTATTTCATAATGCATCATTTAGAAATACTTCAAAGAACTTTAATGCAATACTATTTGAAGGAATGTTGCACAGGAGATGCCATTGAATGGATTAGAATTAACACCCTTGCCTCATGTTGCTGGTATCTACATGATTAAAAAAAACATGATTTTTAAAACTACTTAAAAGAACTTTAAGATATAGTAGGTACCTATATATGTAACTATTTAATTACATGTTGCACAATATGTGCTCTTGAATGCATGTCATCTGTAAATGACCAAAAATAAATAATACAGATTAAAACTGGTAAGTCAATTGAAAAAAAAAATGGGTCAAAACTGTTAACAAGGTTTGTGAATTTATGCAAAGAATAAATTCCAGCTATGCCTCATAATCATATCATCTTTCAATTATCAAGTCCATGCCATAGAAAAAATGCCACACTTTACACCACCAAGTGCAGTATATATGGCTACCAAGTCTTAAGCAGGCAAGACAATGAACAAATTATCTACTAAATGGTATATTTTGAATGAAAAAATTCCATTTTCAGAAACAACTTCTTCAGAGTTGTTTCTCTAGCTGTATAATATAATTAGTACAATAGTGGGCTTGACAAGTCTTGAAATTTTGCCAAATGAAAGGAAAATCAGGTAACAAGTTTCACACATCACTGAGCATTGTCAGGGTGTTAAAATGAAGTAGTACTGTAGTAGAGTGATAAATGGTGAATAAACATCAACCTATTCATGTTAGGGCACTAACAAGATCTAAAAACTTCTTTCCTTCTACTTGATTAACTAGGGAGAATACTAGTGCACATGCTGAAGTTAAAGTAAAGTTCTTAGTATTCAGGAATTGAGAGGCCAATTACAGGAGTTTATCTTTAAAATTATTTCTGGATTAGAAGCATTAGCCAGGACTACACAGTTTATGTTATAAAAGAAATTAGTGATGTTGATGAATAACAATTCCAAAATTGGTAGAACCAACAGCAATTAAGATCATTTTATTATCTATCATGCTACTGTTGAGCATTCAAAATTAATGATTGAAACATAGCAGGCATAAAAAATAAAAAAAGTAATAGTCAAGCACCTTGAAAATTCAATTCCATAAATCATCTAATAATTGAGGGACAGTGAAAAACTGAAATAAAAATTAAGCAGAAAAATAATATAGAAAAATGAACTGATCTTGTGCACCATCAAAAATGCAATAAAATCCAAAGCAATCTGTAGAAAATAAAATAAATAGCTTATGATCAAGTTAGAAGTTTATTGAAAGAGATAAATTAAATAAAATATAGGTACCTGAAACCTGAGCATATAATGAAGCTTGAATCAACAAGCCAATGTAAATAATGAATAATATGAAAAATCACTCACTTTCACTCATGTGAAGATGCAGAAAAATGTGCTCTGGCAGGAGCACTTGTAAACTTTCAGTGCTCAAAGATTTCTTCAGATGCTCTAAAATTTCATTGTACGTAATGAAATAAATTATTAGTATTTAATGACTAGAAAAAGGAAATAAGGCATTGAATTATTACATAATAAACAAAATATAAGAAGCAAAGAAAATGCTATAAAAATTCACCATACTAAAATTTTTGAACTGATGATTAAGCTGGACTCGGAAACATTCTCTTTAAATATATGGTGAATTTTTTTTAAATTCTTGGTGGCAAAATGCAAATGATCACAAACAAGCAAGCAGTAGGATGGTGCTAGAAAGGAGCATGCACAATAGTGTAATAGGAGTGGACCCTGACATTGCAACACTATCACTTTGGTTAAATAACCAGTACATAACATGGTAATAAATAACCAGTAGTAACTAGTAATGAATATTGGTTCAACATCAAGCATTTAGTGGATAACAACACCCTTTGCAGCCACTGACATGAGAATGACTTTCTGCTTGTGAAATCACCAACAGCTAAGAACCAAGTGATCTAATTAGTAATTAGCAATTACTCTATTTGAGCCTGAGCCATGAGAAATCAAAGTCTCTTCATGCCATCACTTCAATGTACCTACAACAACATGGGTCTAATCAAAAATAAAGTGGAAATGAAGCCACAAATCTTGTTAATGCAAGTAATTTAATTCACAAACATAATATGTCCAGTTATATATAGTGTTCAAATTGTATTTGCTAGATAATTGCACATAAAATACAATAATAACAAAATGTATTATTGTAAAATGCCAAAAAGAAAAAGTGCCTTAAATATAGCGAAATTCTACATGCGCTTAAAAATGCTATACCTATTTTCATACAAGCACAACTAATTTAATTCATTTTATTATCTTATAATAAGTTATAATTATAATGAAATAAAACCTTAAAAAATCCTGTGGACTGTGCTACAAAATAGATAAAAAAGTTTAATTAAAATCTGTAATTCCATTTACCATATAGCCCTATGAATGATAATCTACTAGAAAATAAGATGAATGAAATTTAAAAATTAAATTTTTTTATTATTATTTACAATATCTTCAACTGGAAAATTTGGTAGAAGTACCAATGCAGGAGTCAAAAGTCAAAACTGCCCATGCAGCAATGCCCAGGGGCAGGGGCCATAGACAATTTCACCCACACCTTTGAGTGTTTGACCTTTGCTTAATTTCATACAAGAAAATATAAAAATGGCCAATCTACATCAGCAACTTCAAGAATTTGATACAAAATAATAATTTAGATTTTTTATTTTTAAATCTACCTAGTTAACATTCCAATTTGAAAACATATTCAAGGTCCACAAAAACAAAATACCTAGGTAGAGCTGTAGACTGTAGAGCATAGATGATGATGATGATTTGAAGGCTTTGAGTGCTAATGCACTGCCCAGCCTAGCTGTAGAGCAATAGTGGCAAACCAGAGATTTTTTAGAATCAGTTCATTTTTAATTTCCTCATTTACTCAATATTTAAATCAATTTCTTATGTATGATAATGCTGGTATCCATGATAATTTGCTGATCTACTTATAGTACTTAAAATTGAACTTGAGGGAGACTGGGAGAGTCTAAAAAACTCTCTGCTTTGCCAGTTGCCACTATGAAAAAAATAATAAATAAATAAAAGAGCATAGAGCCTAGAACTTTCCCCCCATTCCTGAGACTTGAGCCACAAGATTGAAGATTCCAAGTTTCTAACTACTGCAAGTGCAACTAGTAGATGATTTATCTTCTATATAATTGTTAATGAATAATAATAAATGCGATGATGTTGATGCAGAAAGTACCCACATGTCAGATGCCACATCACATTGGGTAAACGCGTTATATTCCAACATCGTGGGTAATTCCGTCACCTCTCTAGTTTTTCCTTTATATTAAGCTTTGTTTTAGTTCCATGCGTTTGTTGATGGTTGAAATGGTGACGTCATACATTTGCGCATCAAACTACTGCCAAAACACTAGTTCTTGGCCATCTAGCGGGAAAATATTGAGAGCCAAAGAGAGACACGCTACCCAGTGAGATCATCGAAAAATGTGTCAAATTTGACAGTTGACCTTGCTCTACCAAATAGTGAATAACTGTTTGTATAGGAAGAATATTATGGTTTGAAACTTTTAAATACGTCTGTGAATATATTAGGAATCCTTTAAGTATACTTGATTCAATATTCATTAGTGTTCTAATTCAAAGCCGTGTTGTATTCCAAAACAGCTCATAGCCTCATACAGCGAACGGAAATTGAACACGTGGATGACGGCATTACGTATCAGTAGAATTTGAAGCGCTGACGGAATATGCCTCGCCATGTGCCGAATATAGCCACACACAGTGACAGAATATAGGTATTTGGTAGGTTTGCATTCTAAAGGCTTTTAAATAAATATGGCAACATTTTGTGACGTTTCGTTGTTGCTGACGCGTAGTACGGTGTTTTGAGAGTCACATAAAGCAAACAGAACTTGAGTAATGCATACGGTTATTTTTTTATAGTTTTTCATTTCTTGATGCGTCCTTAATGTGACGGAATAT